AGTTTTATATTTTCGCTGAATAAGGATGATATTGAAAAGAGCATAGTAAGTTTTGTTAAAGATGAACAGAAAGCTATTTACGAATATGTGAATTATTTACCCTTCTTTGATGGTGAATTATTTTTTGGTGGTCACAGCGGAATAACTGTTTGTAAACCTTTCGCTGAAATTGACAACTCAACTTATCAAATTCCAATCAGATCTACTGGAGGTAGCTTTACATGGGTTGATTGGGAGGTGTTTTCTGTTGATAAGCTCATTCGTTAACCTATTAATTAAAAATAATCGAAGCCTAAATTCACGCCTTTTATCATAAATGCTGTGTCGTACCAACAGTACATTTCGCCGACAAGTACATTTCATCGACAGTAAATTTAAAGCTTTAATTTTTGCTTACGAAATTAGTATCATGATACAGTAATGTCATTCTAGTCAGTAAAAAGAAATATACGATCGTCTTCTTTCTCATGTGACCAATCCTCGAAAAATACCGTAAATTCCTAATCACTTTTCTAAATTACGCAAATGCAGTCTTATTGACATCCTTATTTAACTTCATAATCCAGCTTTTTACAATTTCTATTATAATAACAGCTAAGCAAAAATTAGCAGCATTAAAGCTTTAAATTTACTGTCCGTGAAATAACTGTCAGAAAGATTATTTTCGGGGTAAATGAATTTTTTCCGGCTGACAGTTTTTCCCAACAATATCTTGTAAACCACAAGTTTCAATTTGTCCCAAAGTGTCGTTTACTCACTAAACTTTATAGCAATCACTTACTAAATTATCGTTGAAGGATGATTATTCATATATTGCAATTGCGGCAGTACTATCCTAACCTTGGAATACTAGTACTAGGCCATGACATTTAATCGTAGGTGTAAACAAATAAAGAACGCAAAACTCCATGACATTATAATTAATAGTAATGCTCGAAATCATATTTAAATTTTGGCACACGATTCAGCAAGGCAGAAAACTTTACTAATTTTTTCGACGGGCTTATGCTAGAAGACTTTCAGAAATATATTTGTTTTATTTGTGAAAAGAAATTGGAATGGCAATGTAATCAAGAAATCTTTGGTTTTGCAACAATGAGCTGTGTTGCCTGGGAAAAATGGCACGGATCTGTGGGAACGCGGCCAATGTATTAAAATACGGGGTAGGACAAATCTTAATCTGTGATGTTTGACCCCCTGAAATCGGCATTATGTTCACTTTGGCTGGTTTTGTTGTAGCATGCCCCATCTTATCACACGCCTCTAGGTTTTGTATTCCTCGTCGTTACCTTCAATCCCAAATATCTTCGCAAATAAGGAACATGGGTGCTGATAAATTTTCTGCCGTCGATACGACTGCACGACTAGGAAAGTTGCGAGAACTGTTTAAACAGGATAAATACAAATTGAATGCATAGTAAGTGTAAATTAAGAAACGGCGTACAAACGGATATACGTATAGATTGGATCAGTTTAGCAGATGATTAATTTTTGATGGCATATTTGTATATAGTATCATTCCCTCGGAAGATGCTCACCAGGTGAGTTGTCTACAATGCCCAAGTGCTTAGAAATCAATTACTTTTGTTGATAGATTCTATCTCATTCTAGAGCGAATACATTGCGCCATGTGATGCACGTCGAGCATTCATCTCTGGCTTCACTGGATCAGCCGGTAGTCGCTTTGTCCTTAATCTCTACATTCAAGTCTCGATACTTTGTTTTTAATGTTTAGCACGTTTTACTCTGAAATGTTTAGGTCTAGCAATTGTAAGCGAAGACAAAGCTGCTTTATTTACAGATGGAAGGTATTTCCTGCAAGCAAGCAAACAATTGGACTCGAACTGGACACTTATGAAACAAGGACTGCCTGATGTGCCTTCATGGCAAGAGTATCTTGTTAAGGTAAGTAAACGATGTTTGAACGGGATAGATATCGGGTATCTGAGACTAGTGTGTAGACAGCGACGAGGAGAGTTGTGTCTTGAGCCACGTAATTATATTATAAGACTGGGTAAAAGAAGTTAAAGAGGAGTATGTTTGATGGCCTGATTTGAGTTTAATCGAACAGTTGATTGTATTTGTAATTAGGATCTGCCAGAGAATTTGAGGATTGGTGTAGATCCAAAGCTAATCACCATTGGTGAGTAACTTACGAAATGCATAGTATATCGGATACAAAATGTACAACACAGAAAATTAAAAATTTCGCGTTTTTCCTCGCACTCATCGACAGCTGACGCGAAAACATTGGCAAAATCATTTGAAAAAGTTGGCTCTACTCTTGTGCCCACAGAGACGAACTTGGTCGATATAGTTTGGGGCGATGAGCGTCCACCGAGGCCAAAAAATCAAGTTTTTGTGCTAGAGGAGAAATATGCAGGTAGGAATATCCAGAGAAATAGAGAAATAGAGAAACGAGTGGGAAAGGAAAATGTGCGAAATACTATCGGCTTACTGTTTGAGATAAAAGGACTTGCAAGAGGCGAATCTAATTTATGTCAGTTGTTTGATATCAGGCTGTTCGAGTAGCGAAAAATTCAAAAGTCTCCGTGAAGAACTTGAAAAGAAGAGTCATTACGGATTCGCTGTGTCTGGATTAGATGAAATTGCTTGTAAGTACTTTGCTTTATACAATCGCGTTTCAACCCTCATCTCTCCTAATTGTCTCTGCTTATTATTTCCCCCCCTTTAGGGCTATTTAATCTCCGTGGGTCGGATATTCCATATAACCCCGTGTTTTTTTCATATGCCTTGATAACAAAAACATCTGTTAAACTGTACATTGAACCTGGGAAACTTACCCAAAGCGTACGAGAACACTTGGGAAATGAGGTTCAGATCGGCCCTTATGACGCAATATTTGATGATTTGAAAAATTTGAGGACTAGTTTAAAGGAGGACAAGCAGGTATGAGTGGGTTTACAGGGAAAAGATGAAATAAAGTATTAATTTGCACCTGTGTAATACTTGATTCAATAAGGGTGATCTCACAGTCGCGGTGAAATCGCGTGTTATTCACGGAACGAATACTCAAAAACTTTTTCTTTCTTTTTGTTTTAGAACCTGTTGATTTCAAGTCGTGCAAGTTTGGCTTTAGCCAATGCAGTTGGAGATGTAGGTTTAATTTGCTCTCAGTGGTTCTTGCTAAATTCACATCCAGTTTAATTGACTCTAACCATTCGAAGAATGTCGAAGATGCAAGATCTCCAGTAACAAACGCGAAAGCTATCAAAAACAAAGTTGAACTGGAAGGAATGAGACAATGTCATCTTAGGGATGCCGCGGCAGTAGTAAGATATTTTTGGATTGAGCAGTTTGGTCACGTGTTGTAATGTTGTGTGCGCTAAGTTTTATCGTTTGTTCGACTTTCAAGATTCAATATTTCGAATGGTTAGAGGAAGAACTTGCAGCTGGGAAGGTTGTTAATGAGGTTGAGGGCGCCGATGTACTTGAGAAATTACGAGCGTGAGTAATGAAACCCAACTATAAAATTAATTGTACTACGTCAATATTTGTTCTACAACTATCTTTCCAATTTTTGTAGAGAGCAAAAGGACTATGTCGGGCTTTCATTCGATACAATTTCGGCTTCCGGTCCGAACGGCGCTATCATTCATTACAAACCAGAACTCGATACTTGTGCTGCTATTGATCCCAAACTACTTTATCTGTGCGATTCTGGCGGACAATATAAGTAAAGAATCAAATTCCTTTTTTGTATTGGCATCGACATCCAACAATCCTCTTATAATTATTTTCCCTCTTGGCATCGCATTTATTCTCACCTAGGGACGGGACGACGGATATTACAAGAACAATCCATTTTGGAACACCAACCGAAAGGGAGCGCCGAGCATTCACACGTGTATTACAAGGTCACATTGCTGTTGATCGTGCAGTGTTTCCAAAAGGTACAACAGGATTTACCCTAGACGTGCTCGCGAGAACTCCGTCATGGCGGGATGGTTTGGATTATAGGCATGGAACTGGACACGGTGTCGGCTCGTTTTTGAATGTACATGAAGGTATGTTACGGGTCATTATTGATGAAATTTGAGAAATAAATAAATAGCTGGTATTCACTCCTTACCCTTGATGTTTGTGCAGGTCCGCATGGCATAGGAACCCGCATAGCCTTTAACGATGCTCCGCTTCAATCGGGAATGACCGTAACCAACGAACCTGGATATTATGAAGATAACTGTTTCGGCATTCGCATTGAAAATGTCCTTTTAGTTCGCGATGCCAATCCTCCAAACAATTTTGGTGACCGTGGCTATCTCGAATTTGAACACGTGACCCTGGTTCCTATCCAGGCCAAACTTATCGAAAAGAGTTTACTCGAACCGAGTGAGTTGGAGTGGGTCAATAAATATAACAAAGAGTGTTTGGAAAAGGTTGGGCCACTTTTGAAAGAAGGGAGCAAAGCGTTACAATGGTTACAGAGGGAGACGGCCGAGATAAAGTAGATAGAAGGGGGTAGATAGAGATGGCAGTCGAGAAGAGGGATGATGTAACCAATTGAATGTATTCCCAATTATACATATATATTTGTTTATTATTTTATGTTAGTCACAGATTTTTCACTAATAAAGCTGAACAAATCGCACTTTGATTTGTTCCTTTTGCTCATACATGCTAGCTCTGCTTATAGTTTGCATGTCTTTTTTCTTCCCCTGTCTCTTGCAAAGCGATTACGCTTCCTCTTTCAAATCCTACTCTCGCCTTCACACGCAACATTCCTCCAATCATTCCTCGTTAATCTTCGGAGCCAAGTAATATCTAATGAATCCAACACTCTCCATTTCATACTCTACCAACAAGGGTAGATTTTCTGATATCGACAATGAAACTACGTCCGATAACGGGGCAGCCTTAGCAAAGTTTGCAAGGTATTTGAGGGAGAAATCTAACGAAACTGTTTGCGAGAGTTCGATTGTTGTTGAGATGTTCTGGAAGTGAATCGGGATTGTGAAAGGTTGTGAAATGCATCGCATAGAATAGGGGAGGTGGGAGGAGGGTATTAGAATAGTGTAATGAATATTCGAAACTGAGGGATGCGCGCTTACCGTGTCGACAGATGATCCTTTTTTCAAAGTAATACTTCCGGAGCCTACTTCTCCACTAGCTACAAATCTGATTCCTTCCTTTGTCACGGAAATGGTAACTAATAAATAATAGACAAGCACAACATTAATAGGAATAACGCGACCTCATCAGCGTCACAAGTTTATTTCATGCAATTTGCTAGATAACCACACCTGCTTCGCTAACAGTTGACAAGTCACGCGTAATACGTTGGAATTCAGCAGATGACATATGGACCTTTGCATCGTAGTCTGTATCAGGAATGTGAAGATTTTCTTGGTCGATGTCCATCAGCTTTAGTTCATATTCGCTAACGCGTTCCTGATCTTTGATATCGAACAAAGATGGGGTACGATTAGAGTTGTATCGACACATTGATAACTAATACAAATACTCTAGCTAGCCGTTGATATCAAACGCTGGTTCCAATGCTTTCAAAATCTTACTTGGACTGTCAAAGACCAAAGTTAAAGAATCTGCAGACTCGTCTTCCGCTTGCAACGTGATTGTGTCATCATTTCCGGCACATCTTAGTATCTTGTTCAGGCTGTTTAAATTCACGCCCAAGCTAAATCCTCTAGCGCATGTGTATGGATCGAATGCCTCGGCTTTGAGAAGTAACGATACCAGAGCAACATGGGAGTTGTCCATAGCTTGAAGTGCTATGCCTGTCTCGGAACAGTCAAAGTTTGCATCAGAGACGAGTTCTTTGATTGCTTCAAGCATACGCTTTAAGAGACCTCCTTGAGCTAGACAAGCCTTGAACATTTGAAAGTTATGTAATTGTACAGAAAGTTTTTGGTAAATCGTAGGGTATATAGACTGGCTTTTAGACTTTAATATAGAATTAAATCACTATTAGTTGTGTATTGTTCTAAACTCGAATCCCTGTCTTTGAATTTGACACGACTTGCCAAAGGTGGTAGAGCGCGTTTAAAATAAATTTGGTTGGCCAATCAATTAAACTAACACTGCGTTATCGCAGTCGCAGTATTGTGGCGTCACAACGAAATTGCAGTTTTACAGTCAAACCGTCATTATAAATTGGTATTCGACAAGTTTTGTAAACAATCGAGTTTATTATAAATTGCGAACATATTGGACATGACAATAATGAAAAGAACCACAAAGTTAAAAGTTGCAATAATAAGTTTTTGAATAAGAAAATTGAAATTTACTAACGTTAAAGTTAGTATGAAGAAATCTCCATACTACTGAATGAAGAAATCTCCATACTACTGAATGAAGAAATCTTCACATTATAAGTAGTATGAAGAAATCTCCATTACTACTACTGAAGAAATCTTCACATTCATAGCGTGAAGAAATCTCCATATTATAAGTATGGAGAAATCTTCACGCTATGAATGTGTGAAGAAATCTTCACACGTTAATAAGTTTTTGAATAAGAAATTTTAAAATTTACTACGTTAAAGTAGTATGAAGAAATCTCCATTTATAAATGATGAAGAAATCTTCATTTATAAATGTATGAAGAAATCTCCATATTATAAAACTCGGCCACGTTAAGCCAGTTCTTCGACTTTGCACAGGTCGTCCTCCTCGTTCGGATACGGGGTTGGGTACGATAACTCCTGGCAGGTTTAGCGATTCATGCCCCCAGATTTCAGGCGGTGTCTTACAATATGAACAAATGTTCAAAACCATGTTAATAAGGTTTTAAATAAAAAGTCAAAACGTCCCCCATCATGAAGGAATAAGTTAAGCGAACTTACCATGAATGAATCTTCGAAACCCCCATAATAGTGACGTGCGGGTGTGTTTTCTCCCCGTGTCAGTAGTGGTATGTTTGCTTTTACGAACCTCACCACTTGTTGGATAGCGTAGGAAGTTTTCGCGTTAGAAGAGTTTACAGGTAAAGTTAACATTTTGATATCCGTAGGGATGTGTTTCATATCTTCGGGGGTGTCTCTTTAAATACTATCGCTATACTGTATCTCGGTTACACCAGTTAGCACACACCCGTTTTAGTTTAGCATTCCCGGTCAGGGGAAATGTCACACAAACTGCGCCCACTATAGTAATCTCCCAATGATACAAAAATACGAGCTTGCTCTGCTTTTGGGAATGTGAGATATAATCGGTTTTGTATGTTATGTAAACTTATTTGTAAAGTTAGTCTCTACGTAAGTGTAATAAGACTGTGGCTTCAGGAAACCTGTTCTCTGTTTTTTACAGAGGGTTACGGACATGACTTTTTTATCTACATATTCACGATGTTCACCAACGACATTTACTTTCAGGCATTTGACTGCATTCAGGACTTGTAAGAAAAGGCGACGTACGAAATTATTGTTCAGTGTAAAGTTTCAGTACAGACATCAGACTTAATACATGAATTAATTGAAAGAGTTACATAGTACTGGGTATAGAAGACGTTGATTGTAAGATATTTTATTTACTATTGTAGATAACATTGTTCTTCATATGGTTGGGTAGTGGTAGCGGTATTTACTTTCATACACTTTCGTCGCTTTGTAGGAGGGCCTGATGTCAGATTAGTGGCTCTCTCCATAACCACATTGCTGGCTCGTCGTCCTACAGTTGAGCGTTCCTCTGATTGTTTCACATCTTGCTTGTATATAGTAAAAATTCGTTCTCTTCCTATTTCATAACAACTAAACAGATTATTGAATCCTGAATCTGTGTTTTGTGTTGTATTGCTAAATAGTTCATGCTGTGCGGGGTTCAAAGATCCGAATGCCTCTCCAAGACTTTTGACTAGTTTCCATAAGGCTTCTTTTCTTGATTTCATATTGCGATCAGTATGGGAGAGGAAATTGTCTCCTACGTATTCACTAAGTAGAAGATTGAGTCTATCCCTTTCACTTTGCACAGAAGATATCTGTGTCTTTATATTTTCCTCACTCCATATAGTCTTTCCAATATTGTCCTTTACATATTTAACACCGAACCGTTCTATCCCCTCGTCAAATGCGAAGAAGTGCCCCGGGCGGGTAAGATTAACGGAAGCGACTTTTCCCAATAGTGAACGTAGAGATGGGTTTTTTAGTTGGTAGTATATGTAGAATGTAACTGACTGAGCATAGTTTGAACGACTAGCCACCGGGAACAAGGGTGCAAATGCAATGAGATTTTCTAACTGCATTTCATAATTTCCATGTCGTATTCCAAGCCGATGACTAAGCCAGAAGCTAGTCCAGGTAAAGAAAAGACTCCAGACTTTCAATACTGGATTTGTTTTAACTAGCTCCTCTATATCTTTCCCCTGTTGCTGTGAATACTTATGGATCGCAATGCCAACACCTACCCACAACAACTCAAGGACTCTGCAAGCTGCAGAGTAATCTATGGCCTGTTCAAATTTGTCGAAATAAAGAACACCCAATATAGTCGATAGTTGGAATATCCCGTATCCAGAAAATATTCTAACGAGTGTGATACACATAATCTTACTGGTATGCCATCCACCTAAGAGAAGGTTCAATTCCGGATGATTCTTGTGAAGCAAATGAAGACGTCTAAAAATTGCCTCATCTGAACAGATCTCTAAACCGAGTGGGCCAGTTCCCACATCATTGTAATACATCAACACAGCTTGATGTACATTCTCGTCACAACTTGGCTTGTTACCTGGCTCTAAAATTACTACGTTCGGTGTTGGAAGAATACATCCACCTGTTATATTGTTTCGAATTTCTGTTAAAATGTCTTTGGCCTCAAAACTGTTACTGTCACAGTTATCTGAGAAAGACTTGATTATTCTCTTGAACTTCATCAGTTCTTCTTCAACAAATGAGGACACACCAACTCGAAATTTCTCACGTCTGTTCATTCCTTCAGCAATAATGTCCGTAAGTGGCTTAGGTAATGTAAACTGGAAGACTATGCGAAGAGTTGCATGTGCTGTTTGTCTTACTTTATCATAAATGTTATCATAAGTAAATTGTTTTTGCTTAAAGTCAATATTGTCCAAGACGCATATATTCCATATATTGTCCCCTTTCAAGAGTCGTTCCTTTGGGTTGCAAAGACTTCGCCTTTCTTTCTCCAATTTTCTCTCATATCTTACTGAATGTGAAACTATATTCGCTGTGCACAGGACGGCATATAGAGAAGACTGCATATTGGGTTTCTGCGAGAGAGAGCTAAGCATATGGGTTATCCATACTTTCGTATTTGGGAATGTTACGGTTAAAATCACTGACACCAAAAACGTTGAAATTTTGGTTGCACGTCTATCATCAAATTCCTTAACCTGCTGCCGTTGAAGCTGCTTCCTTTGTAGTACAGACCACTTTTTTCTCTGAATAAGAATAATAAGACTGTCGATGAACTCCTTTATCACAGTTGGAAATGCATTCCTATAAACATCCAATGTACTGGGATTTTCCAGCTTGTGTTTGTTTTCACGAATAAATGAACGTGAATTCCAAATGGTTCGTGCCAAACCCTCACCAAGTTCCTTAGGGTACTTCTGTACAAGTTTGGTAAAAGCTAAGTCAGGTCTTATACGGACTTTCTTCAATCGCAATGCAATTTTAGTGGCTAAGTAGCTAGGTGGGTCTTGTGTTGTATCATATGCCTGATGTTCATCAATCGTCTCACTTGCTTTCAAAATTTCCTTTTTTCGTAAGTAGCACCGGTGTATCATCTGCCACATTTCTTCGATTAATATATTCTGCATGACTTTATCAGGTGAATCAGTCATACTATTCATCCACTGACCAAACAGTTCCAGAGTTTTCATCTTGTCATCGAGATGTTTGTCATTGCAACTATCTTTTGACTTATTGCCTTTTCCCTTGCGCTTAAAGAAATGCCCTCCTTCTTTCTCAAAACACATAGAACAAATATAACGTGGCCTTTTACTATTTGTCGACTGCTGAATAAATGTACCATTCTTGAAGACTGGACATTCTTTTACACCACAACAGGGATTATGTATGTTACGATTCATAATTGTCCATGAATGGAATGAACATCTGCCACCCCGACTGAAGTAATAAAACCGATTATAGCAAAAGAGACACTTTTTTTTGTGGATGATGCTTTTTTCAATAGAGACATTACTTTTTGATCCTCGTGGATGTAATCCATCTTGATCAAAGTTGTGATGACTTGAACACACCCCAAGAGATCGCAAAGCGTAATTGTCATTGTTCACTTTAAGAATCTCATCCACTGTATTAAAGTCCAACTCCCACATACCCATCAACTGCTTCAAAGATCGGACTGCTGGTTTTTTACACCTTTCTACTTTACCATTAACTAATTCTACAATGACACATTGTCTTTTACTTTCACTGAAGTGAATGTCTATGTCATCACTATCTCCCCTCATAAGATACTCTGATTCCTCTTCATCAGTTGTTGACATACTACAAGCTGTCTCACTGTCATCTAATTCACTCGATAACCAATCGATGTTCATATCCCCCCATCCCTCTATATTTGATGACATTGTTTCTATATACTCGTTCATTAATTGATTGTCAGGGAATAAATTATCCTCAACATTCTCAGAGCTATTTACATCAGTGTCATCGCTTGTTGTTGTAATGGGAGTATCTGGTGTTGAATCCATACTCTCTTCATCGAGTGGGGCATAGTCTGTGTCAGGATCCAGGAAATTGCCGCTGCCATAAACATGTTTGTCTTCCTTGGTAGTCATCCTATAACGATAATAGTGATAGTAATAGTGAAGCATTGGAGTTATATCAATGTTAATAAGAGTGCATAACTTGAGAAACATCACTACTATATAAAGAAAGCGATCTTGCCAGGCTTAATATTAATGTAACAGAAGAACTGTATAGGGCATCTATATACTACAAGTAGGGGAACTATACAGGCATACTTGTAATAAAGCAAAAAGTCATATTATTACACCTATAATGATAATTAAGACTACTTATAGAATATTTTCTAGAGGGTATTACAAGAAAGAACTTGCACTGCTTCATTCTAAGATGGACTAAGTTCCAGTGGGCATAGCTGTATGCGACTTTCATGCCTGTAAACTATGTTTACTAGCGATAAAAACAGCTTAGTAATACTCACCCTCTTCGTGAACAAGTTGAGAAGCTACGGAAAGAAAAAGAGTAACGTAGGTCATTTTTATTATGGGGTTTTCGCGTGTTTCACAAAAATTCGCTATATGAGGTACACCAGCACCAGGATTTGCGTGACATCATCATCGACCGTTCCCCAACGTATATAATATAAAAGGGAAAATGGTGATGATCAGTATTAATGAATTAGAATGTTGCACTAATGCTGAAACCATGGTCTTTCATTGGTTGATCTCTAACCCCATCGATTTTTCAGCATCTACAAATAAAATGACACCTCTATAATCGGGACTTGACATTTGGGGTGCACTTATAGAAGAAAACCAGAAAACTGTTACACATAATAGTGACATCGAAGTCAGACTACACTTTAGTTTGACGCGTTGAACAAACTTCTCAATATTTTGTAAAGAGATTATATATTTTCCGTATTGTCCTGTTGTAAAAGAAAGGTACGCACTATTCCCAAGCTAGCGATTGCTGTGCTATAGCGCTAATAGCAGGACTTTCTCTATGTCGTCTACATCCGTAATTGCTTGATCAGTACAGTCAAACCTCTTTATACCGATATTTTTTATACCGATAATTGGATACAGTCTTTGGAACCGTTTACTAATTATGATATAAGATTTTCTTCGGCTATACTGTATACCGATAGAAATGACGCGTGCCACTCGTATCGGCATAAAGAGGTTTGACTGTATCCTTAAAGAGATATACAAGTTCGTGGTCGTTGTCAGAAACTTCATAAATAAGGAATGTCGAGCAACCATTTACGACAATTATTGATTATATTATTGTTATCTTTGCTTAAATTTGGAAAATGTGATTAAAATTTTACTATTTTAGCAAATAACTTATGTTGATGTATTTCATAATAATAATACAGTTTTTAAGCACGAGTATATTACTGGTACTAATGTCACTTATTGCATCTTTGTTGATTGAAATCACGGCGATTAATTGGCCGACCTTTTTTAAATGTCATGTGCGTGCACTTATGGAGGCTATACAATTATATCTGGGACTCAAAAATCGCTTGCACGTGTAGAACTTATAGAGGTGTCACTGTATATCGTAAGATCCGAGAGATAAGTGATATGTTTGCTGCAAAATTTGGGCTATTTATATATTTTTCTAATGTTTTGCTAGCTATGTTCTAAATTTATCGATTACAATTGCTATTAGCCTACAGTGCGCAGCTGTTAGTATTGTATTTTCGTCCCGTTTTTAGTCATTTTGATTTGGATATTTTTAAGCTGCTCTTGCTTTTGTAATAAGATCGCGAATATTACTCGAGCCTTAATTCTACAGTTAAGCCTTTTGAAATTATCAGCCGTAATTCCTCATTTAAGATTTAATTACTTGACATCCGCTTTCTCTCTCACTCATAGTCGTAATTGACGATGGAAGAGATATCAATGTAGCAATCGCTCTAATAAGGGATTGTGTAGCTTGGGTATATATCAAGCAAGTTTACTACCAGTGATTTTAACTATTAATATTTCATACTTTGATCGAATAACTGAACATGCCATACCCTGTGGACATGATACCCACAACGATTGGGTAATAACAAATGTTTCAGCATCAGCCGGGACATTTATTATACGAACCAGTTTATTTATAATGTATTTTAGATAATGTTTACCAGGAAAATGTCGAGAAGGTTTTAATAATTTGGTAAGCAATAATAATGGTGATGATATAGATAATTTATTATGATTTTATGTAGCATCATTATTCATAAACAAATACGTTTTATTTTTATAGACGAAACAGAAATTATTAGTTCATTAGAGAATGAAAGTGTTTAATTTGTATTCTCTAAACTTTCTCAATAAATTTAGATGAAACAATTTATCTATTATAGTTATTAAAATCATATATATAATCCTACCGGATGCAATTCTAAAGTCGAAGTATTTCTGCTAAGAAATGGTTAATCGGGCCGAGAGAATTCGGTAGCAAAGCGAAGAGCGTGAACACAACACAGGCATCAGCAATGTATTGCATAGCTTAATTTTTATCAACACCCGAACATCTCAATAATTCATCTGTAAATGGATCCAAATTATCAGTATTAACATAAATCGCATCTCCGAACTGCTTATTATATGGAATAATGTGACATGTGCGTGTACAGCAAGGGACTTATAACACGCTATTAGATCTTCATGTTTATGATTCTATAATCTTCTTTCTAAATGATATTATCTCTTACACTGAATAGCATAGTATACACCGTTACAATGTCTACTCCACCGCCTGCTCGTCCAAGACTGTAATAAAGAGAGAAAAAAATGAGCAATTGTATCATCGTGGTGAAGAACGTTCGCAGCAAAAAAGCTGTGGCCATCACGCTGCGCTTTCAATTCTCCGATTACACCAAGTCGCGGCACATTTTCGAACTATCAAATAAATAGAAATACTGAAGTCAAACACTCGATTATTATTGGTTATAAGCAATCAAATACTTGATCATCGAGTGTTAATGAATAAATCCTTATTATGGTCCGGTGCAAAAAGATAGATACCTCGAAATTGATCGCTATCAAATCGCCTAGTTAAAGCTGTGTGCGAC